TTGTACATTATTTTTCAATACTAATTTGACCATAAATTTGTATGGGGCATGTTGAGGAGATGAGAATCCCATTTTTTTTTTATAAATTATGAATGTGGCTCTTGTTAATACTTCAGTTGGACCTTTATAAGGGCTGTTTCAGTCATGAAATATGCACCCATTCGTTTCCAAACCTTTTTTCAGGTTGGCAAGTAAGGATTTCAGAAGGTTCTCGAAGTGCAAACAGGTACGTGTTTATGCGTGAAATTTTGATTACTAGCACGGTATGTACGCTTACACCTTCATCAGACAAATAACCAATGAAACGTTCATGAATATGCACAAATGTGGAAATTATGCATGAGATGAAAATTACAATCGCCGTCAATTAGGCTACGCTATACGTTTGTGTACACTGTACACTTGTCGTACAGTAAGATTAATCAAATCGACAAATTGATTAGCCTACACTTTGGTTAATATCTGGTGATAGATGTTCGAGAGTATATTGGCGCCATTATCTCGATTGGTATTTTATGTATTAAAACTTGATGGATTGATATTGAATGTCACCAGGAAAAGGGTGCAATATCATATTCATTTATCAATGGATGGCGATTATGAAAAGGAGGGGCTGGGTTAGATAGTCGCAATTTACATAGTTTACCTACAAAAAGCTGCTTCTCTACAGTAGTCTTACAAAGTCTAACCGAGTTCGGTATTAAAATAACAATCAATTGACCGTGACCACCATTTTGAACTTAAACCAAATTTGTGTTGGGCTATTGGTGTTTAAATTTATGAAGTGACATTGCATAATCGATTCCAATTATTGTTTTAGTGTTGAACCAATAAATCGCATTGACCGTCATTCGAGGTACGTAGGGTCAAATATATAAGAGTCTAAAACAAGTCTTCGCAGCAAACATTACACCTCAGGTTATGTTTTTTGAGCTGTAGGAAATGCGATTATTGGCTATTAATATTATTTGAATAAATAACCACGACCATCTTTCAAGGTCACAAAGGAACAATTTGTTAAAATCTTCAAAAACAAAAATTCGTCTGAAGAACCATACGTCCTAGGGTCATGCTATTTAGATAATGAGTAGCTAAACGTATATATCGATTTTTAAATTTTCAATACAAGGTCTCCATTTAAGGTCACGGGTTTAAAGCATAGTGTTATGATTTAAATAGTTGCTAATATGAATGAGAGACTATAATGCTTGTGCAAATAATGATCTTCGCATCGTTTCGTAGCCACAGAGTTGATATAGGTTAAGAAATTCAGACCTATTTTTTTAAAGAATTTTAAGGCCAATGGGATATTTGAAATTCCATATTTAATAATAATTTTACAACCAGTATAATGACATAGACTGAATTAGGCTTTGTTTATTTCCCGGCAAATACTTGCTATACAAGCTTTTTTTTTTTGTCTGTTAGCCGTTTATGTGTATGATTTCCCTGTGAATAGAGCATTATATGCATTCCAATTCTCTAAAACAGAAACTCTATATCTCATGTCACTGGTAGGCTCTGAGGGCCTTTCTTAAATAAATTCTGTAAGGATGATTGAGTGATAAAAATGATGCGTCGGGTCATGCGTTTTGTCTGCAGCAAAAATATATTATGTTATTCATTACAAAATATTAAATATTACTATAATAAAGTAAAGCATGCAGTTATGTTGGGTTCCCATGCTATAAATACATGCAATGCATCGCATATGAGTACTGTAGAACACATTTTCAAATGTATTTCAGAAATAAACAAAATAAAAAGGATTTCACCAATGATTAAAATGTGAATTGACATTGAATCATTTTTAAGGAAAATGCTCAAACACGTGCTGCTTAAGTCACATTCTATACACATACACATAAACTGTTGTTTTTTACCATAATCCAATCAAGTATTCAATACAGAGTTGCTGGTCGCCATGCAAAACGTTTTAAGATCAGATGGCAGAATTGATTCAGTATTTTCAGTACTTTGATATTTTATAAAAAAACAAAGGAGTAGCGGAACAGAAGTTCCAAAAAGTAGGCATATCCAGTAAATTATCAAATTATAAATGCTAGAAAGATAAATTATTAAGGAAAATTTCAATGCAAAAATTGTAAATGTAACTTAAATGTGCAAGCAGACTACAATTATGTTTTTGTTATTGCCACACTGATCCCACTGAGGGGCGCTGCAGTCAAACTTGCGGTCGAGATGAGGTGTAAGCATTGCTTTAATACGTAATTTGTTCAAATTAATTGGGTTACACTAAAACATCCAACATTTATCGTGGACCGATTTTCACCTTCTATCCAACACCTCCTTAATTCCTATCGTCCGAAACAGAAGCCGTAGTCCTCGATCGCACCCACCATTTTTACAACGAAAGCAAAACATTTTGCCCCTTTTTGCAATACCTATTCTGATGCTATTTGAAGTCGTTAAATATTCTTTTATAGTCATTTTATTTTTGTGTTACGGCCTATCGACAACTATGGTCATTTAGGGCCATGGTGTTTTTGTTTTTCAAACAAACTAGATAAAGATAAATATTTTTTAAAGCATTATCAAGGTACATGTATGTGTAAATAATTAGAATTTGAAAGGGGTTAGAATAAAAAAAAGTTAAAGAGATAATGAATGCATGTAGATAATATAGAAAATGTGATGTATTGTATAGATAGCGTCAAAGAGGATAGGGTTGGTCAAAAGACTTCAAAGTCTATAAAATAGACCGATGTCTTTTAAAAAGTTAAATAAAGCCTCTACGGAAGTGAAAACGGATATGATATCCGGAGCTCGAAAGTAATTTTCACGAATGTGTTTGAAATCAGAACATTCTAAAAAAATATTCCACTGTAAATTGAGTGTCACATGCGTTGCATGTAGGTGGATCTTCTCGTTTTAAAAGGCACGAATGAGCAGAATACGTGTCCCCAGTACGGAGCCGAGAGAGGACATCTTTTTCGACTGGGAACACATGTTTTAAGCTTCCGTTGTTCTTTAAAATCTTTGTTGCTGATCTCGAGAGACCAACGTTGCTGCCATTAATTTTGAATGACAGTACGATAAATAGGTTTTAAAACTGTTTATGGTTATTTGAAATCTGTTTGTTGGAAAGTTAAAGCTTTTTTGTTTGTTTCTCTGTCAACAAATGTGTTACTTTTACTTCCGACATGGCTCGGGAGAAAAAAAGTGTGTTATCAGCATTATCACCTTGAGAGCAGGTATTGATTGTTTTTGTTCATTAAGTGGGAGCAGATCTGAAAGCTAACACACCGTAATAGTAGGCTAGAGGACCTTAATTGGTTAAACTGGCATTTTGTTGGGCCAAGTATGCCGTGCATACTAATATGTCGATTAAAGCAGTGACTGGTGTGGGAAAAATACCCCTCCAGACATGGCCTCTAAAAAAACATGTCGTGTCGTGTAAATTATCTTATTTACTATAATGATTGTTAAAACTGCAAATCATGAGTAAAACGAAATTTTCTAGCTGTTTTTGCAAAGCCAAATACATACTTATATAGTTCCGACGAATCATATTATCAATGTTTCCAATATCAATTAACTTCTGACCTAGACATAACTCTAACCCTCCAAAAGTTCAATAATTTAAAACTGCTAGTGTTTAATCAACCTTGTAAAACATTCCTACTTCCTACTCTAAAATGTTAAGCCAGGAAAAAACATGAAAATATCTGGGAACGAAAATGTCATTCATATCAATATATTAAAAGAAATTTTGCAGAACTGACATGCAGCCTCTTGTTTACGGAGCACTACGTGGCCATTAGCTTCTTACCAAAAACAAAATATCTTGACCAAAATTATATCAGTGTAGCCTTTGTCCTTGCACAATATAAATATTAAACAAGTTCGAACTAAACCAAAGTCTTTGTATAATGTACATGCATACGAAACTTCACCGAAATCGAACGATATTTCAGCAAGTTATCTTGCGGAAACTTACAATCTTCAATCAGAGCACCGTACGTTTATTAAATATAAGCGGATTTTGCGGAACCCAAAGTCTGAACGGACGGTAGGGGGCTCCCCATACAATAAAAGTCCCATTAAAATTGTTGATAGGCGTATAATAATACAGCAACCTTCATATAATATTCACCGATGTAGATTAGTTGAACCTCCAGAGAGTGTGTGTTTCACTCACATAATGTCTAGTTAGTTAGCCTAGTCAATGTTTTACGACTGATTTGGGACAAAAAATAATTAGTTTTAGTTTCAGTTATTAGCAAAGTAATGTTATGTTTTCATCATATCATTAGTGATTACCTTGTTGTAAATGGTTTGAGCGTGATCGGTTGATAGTAGTTTTTCTGAACATTTCTGATAGAGGCTATTGGTACGCTCAACACAGCAGGTGCTATACACTATACACGATCCTAGTTCTGGTTTCTTGCAAGATATATGTAGTCCAGGTATGTAAAATGTGTAATATGTTCTAGTCAGAATAAACCCAGTTAATAGTTGTCGTCATATTTTAGTTACATGCTTACACATTAATTATCCTTTGAAATTAAAACCCATAAGAGTTCTCGATTCCGATTTAACATAAGAGACAATATAGCGACTGTAATGACATTGTCTGAATTAAACATACAGTAGGTGCGTTAATTATGTCTCACCTTATAACTCATAACACTGTTGCTAAGACGCTTTCGCAATATTCAATTATACAATACCAAATTAGTGATTAATTTCACGACATCAAGATATTATTTCGTTTTGGAACTGATAAATTCGACAGGAATTAAACGAATACTCGCTTAGTAATATGGTTCCGTTGTAGTTGTATTTTGATTAAACACCACATTATATTTCAAGATAAAATTGTAATTCATTTTAATCACTTGTCCTATTTTGTTCTGTTTTCAAATAGATCATATCATATATATATACATATATATATGAATTTCTGAGAGAGAATGAATAAAAACAATTTACAGTTATTCTCTTATTCAATTCAAGGCATGTACAGGATAACTTACTTGCGTCTTGGCGACAGAATCTGTCGTTTCACTGTATATCCGCTGTCGTGTCTCCCTGGTATATGATTATATCTATGCATATCCCTATATTTATACGTTTTGGGGTGTTGCTGTATCCATGGGACATGGTCACGTGCTATGGAAAAGGGTTAAAAAAGGGGTCAAGAAGCGTATCCGTGTAAAATCAAATGTGCTTCAAGACCACATATTTTATCAACGTTTAAGTGGACGTCATTTATCATTGTAGTTGGCACAACATTGTCCTCGGTAACAGCCAATCAAAAATGAATTAAACATCAGTTGGTAAACAAGTTTGAGGTTAACACGTAAAACATCTACTAATGTTTGTTTATATGGGGGTTTACGACCTCGCAACGAGAACGGGTGCCCGGGAGGACAACGCCGGAAAGACAGAGTTGATAGAAAAACGAGTCGGTTGCTCCTCTTATCATCCTATAAGATGGTCTTTTTTCCCATAAATATCAATTTATGATTCTTTTATGCATTCTATTTTTTTTCGAACATGTGGTATATATTTTATTATGAAAGGTTTAATTAGATATGCTAGTCTGTTGGACAAAGCACTTGTAAAACAACCTATTCGAAGACTGGGAAATCACTGATAACTGGATTTTCGTTAGAACACCATCGTAGCAATCAGATAATGATTGGTGTCATAGAATATACTTTTGTTCTGTCTCGGAGAAAGATCATGTATTTTTCTGCTTAAGTATGATTTGTTCGTTGTTCCTGTATGGCGACCATAGTTTTGGAAGGTTACGAATGAGTATTCTGAACAGAACGGTTCGTAACTAAAGCAAGTTTTCTTAATTATTTTCTAATTTTTCACTGCATCATTATATAAATGCCTAATATATATGTTTTTTTGTGTTTTTCTTATTGTCTTTTATCTCAGGTTATTTCTAGATCTGCTTAACATTCGTTTGTTCATGCGGTTCAGTCTTGCTTTACACATTATGAATTGGTGTATATGCTGAGGAATTTTATTTGCAAATAATATTGATGTTGTTTGCTGTACATGTGTAAATCTACATATCAGTATGATTTGTATGTGTTGTTTTGGGTAATATAACGTATACTGGAGGATTAATAAATGTTTAGTGTATACTTGATTGTGCTTAAGGAAAGGCGTATGTTTATCTAAAAATGTTTCGACATCTACTCAAGTTGGACGCAATGCAACTACCAAATGCTACCTGTTTTATTTGCCGCTGAAACTAACCAGATGTGCGTATGAATACATATTTTCAGATTTTGCAAAGGGAAATAAATATTGACTTCTATAAACAAAGACGATACCACCTGTATGAGATTGTACATTTTTATTGATGCTAAACAAGAAATCGCTCAAGAAACCAAAAACGATCAATTTGCAAACAATTATCAGCTGTTCAAAGCGGTAGTGACAAGTCATGTACTGCCCTAGAAATTCTCCCTCCCGCTACTCATTCTGCCTGTTGTGTCAGTGTCAACCCCCGGTACAAATTTAAAACAAGGTGTATCACAAATTCATGTAAGCTTCATTCCATGCAAGTCATAAACTAGGCATATGTAACAAAATACATCCATAGGAATTATTTCTCATATCTTCATAAACAAATGGCTCTTGCAAAAAATTGACTTAACTAAATGAAAAATATTATTCCTCATAAAAAAATATAATATTTGCAAATATTAGCCATATTTTCTCTTCAAAAACTGGAACACATTGTACAGTCATAGCTTATGATATATATAATGAACATCTGAATACACGTTTTAACATATATCAGTAAGTAGCACGGTTGTTCATTTATTCTATAATGTGATATATATGAAAGTTTGTTTGTAATGAAGATAAATTGAACAGGAAGATATAGTCGAGTGCCTGTTTAAAGCTGAATAGCTGTCAGACTCTTTAACGTCAATCATTTTTTATTGTCATATTTGAACAAAAATCGTGTGATTTGATGTCAGCCTAGGGATAGAAATATCATGACTTCGAGATGTCCTATAAGCAACGTATTTTACTATAATTGGTCCATTTTTGAATCCTAACAAATGACGTTCGTAGACCAAAACATTGGTCATCCATTATAGATCATCACGTTATAACAAAAAAAACCCACACCTTTGCTATATTTATTGTTCTTTATCGAATAAGAAACATTCAGAAAACTGTATAGTTTGTATAATATACAGACACAAATTAAGTCTTAAATGTAACTTGGTATATAAACATTAAGTTTAATACTTTTATTTACAGTTTCATGCGTTTCTGTCCTTAAAAAGAAATACGATATAAAATATTTTTAATTGAAGAGGGCATCTTCTTGTGATGGAAATTGCCCAATATATCCGTGGAAACAACAAAAATAAAAGAAGTTTTATATCAATTCGTACAATTTCATTTGACACTGCTCAATAACATCGCACGTTAATTACGTCACACCGCGGAGGCATGTTTGTGAAATTTACTAATCAGTAAATAGGTCACGGTGAGAAAACATGTCGCCATCCAGTTATTTGTTGAAACTGAATTCCCAATTGTTGAATGTTGACGTGGCAAAGAACCCCGAAGTGGATGATATTGTGAATGCAGTAACAACAGACCTATCTTTATTCGTTGTATTCGAGCCGTGTGATACTATATGCGACATTTCAGACGAAGCGAGGGGAGGTTGATCTACATGACACGAGGCTGAGGGTCTACAAATGGCGGACAACGAGTAACTGCGTGCTTCCTTCTCTGTCGACGACACTGGCCGGTTATATTGTCGAAGGGATGACTCGTTTCTGTGGTCGGACATCAACATTATGTGTCTGGCTTGGAAACCTTCATGGTAAAATTACTTAATAGCTGTCCCACGTAATCAGTGTGATGTGTGTTTTCGCTCGACACCAGCTTTACAGAGAGTAGACAGCATTTTCTCAAATGATCGTTTGCCTAGTGCTTTTGTCGTGTACCAAACGGATGTACTTAACTGAAGGAGCGTCGATTTTTGAGTTTATTGGTTGAATAAATGTGTGGCCCCGGGGTTGGTTTTCTCAATCAAAATCTTTCATATTTTGACCGGACGACATTTCGACTGCGGCATACATGCGTTTATCTATGGACGACTCGACTGACAACATGCCTCCCTGGTGATTTTTTTTGTTGGGTCTCGTGTTTCAACGTGACATAGTCACCGCTCTCATCATTGTGAAATATGAACGAATTCAAATGCAGTTGGTGGTGAAGTTCTAGGCCCATGGACACGCAGTACACGGATAAATTATGCCAAACTGACTGTCGGGGGATTATTGGATTTGTACTCGATAAATCGAAGTAAGTGGATATTTTTTTCCGATCTTCAAGTTCAATAATTAGTTTCTGTTTTGTAAGTTCCGATTGGCCAGTTCTTGTTCCTTCTTTCAGTGGACCTTCCAACACTCCGTTGGCTGTATTAAAATCTTTGTCCCTGACTATATTTGTGTTTCTTTGTTAATCCGCAAGATGCCTATTAAACGCCCCGCGGATACTGATTATAGCATTTTGTGGTATAGGGTTTCATCTCCATCGCTTGCTTTTTTGGGTCTCGCCCCACAGTAGAACAATTTCGAGACTGTAGCTAGTGTTTGGATATCTGCATCTGCCATGTCCATATGTTAACCATTGATCTCGATGTTCCAGTCTGAGAAGAAAATATCAGGACCTACAGTAGAGTATGGAAAAGTTTGTGTAATGATCGAAACAGTTATTTGCTTGCTTACAAAAAATGCGACACTTGATTTGTTTTGATGTTTATGCAATGATACAGTCATCAAACCTACAGCAGCTGTACACTGGGCCGGAATTAAGTTTGTGGAAGATGTTTAAGCATTGAACTGTTTTTGTATGGTATTTGTGATCTATTTGAATGACACAGCTTTGCAAGCAAACAACATAATGCGCGCTAGTTCATTATGATTTGTTTGTTTGCAAAGCTGTTTCATTCAAATAGATCATAAATATCATACAAAAACACTTCAATACTTATATTTACGTTTTCTTTGCCTCTTATGTTCTTTTTTAACTGATAATTTATCATTAAAATTAAAAATGCTCGCCTTATCGACAGTCCACACAATTTCGCTCAATAGGTTGAACAGCGTATTGTCGCGTGCTGATTGGCAAACAAAGAAGTACTTTGACATTTTACCAAACACAATTTTATTCCACAATTCAGTATCAGTACAATTGCGTTTGATATGTCTATAGAGTGATTTGAAATTGTTTCGAATTTACCCCGGAACAAATTTCGCGCATGGATAAATACAGTGAACACCGTGAAACTGATAGCGTTTGAAAATGAGTGATCTTGCGACGGAGCAGAGGCCGGGGTTTGTTACAAATGTCTGAAATGTTTATGTGTGCTATGACTCATATCATTAGGTCTGTAACTTATGTGTCAGTAAGTCTATATATTATGTGTATTTCTACATTTGTAACGAACCCCTGTTAATCAGGGCAGTGTAACAGACGATGTTTCTAATAAATTGCACGAGTGTCAAAATTGTTTCCATTGCCGGCATTGGTGACATCAACCGATGTGCATTTTGTACGATATTGCAGACAGACATTGGTCCTGTTTTTGTTGTAATAAAAGTATTTTATTTCCTTTTTCTTTTTTTGTACATACATTTACAATGACATTGTCAAGTCTCACAATGCCCATCGATACTTCAGCAGCCATCATGTTTATTTACATTGGATAGTGTAGTTCCGGTCAGTGTTTTAATTATTACGCTAAGAATTGTGTCTCGTGCGGCATAGTAATTAAAGTCCCATCAACGACACAGCTTTCAAAGAGGCTATATAATGACAATGCCATGCAAATGTAAATATTATTCTTTTAACGTTGCAGATCTCTATGTTTACAACGACCATGACTAAGAATTTAACTCAACTTTTAAAATTGTATATCTACTAACACTTTAAATTTCTTCAGAAATGACATTACTTAATAGACTCGTAGGCCTAGTCGTACCGACATATTAAGGTAACTGTTGGCCTATCTTGGAATAGCCTCATGTCCCAGGCTGTGTTTGTCCCCTGCCTCTTGCCCCCTTTCAAACAAATACTGTATTTCATCGCTGTTTACAGTTTATACCGTTCCTTTGGTGGCATGTATGGTATATCCGGTGTTGGTAGATGATCCTATGCTGATCATGTGAGCTCTTCCTGCATTTGTGATACTCCTTTACTGTCGGTAGAGTTGAAACATCACATAAACTGTCAAATTTTGACATGTCTATAGTCGACAGAAACAAATCGTCACTTAGCTCGTCTTACTTGATCCAAATGTGGCAGTTTTACCAAGAAATCGCCATAAATGTGATTGTCCACTATTTCCGATTTCAATGCAGACGACAGAATTCAATTTAATTTTCTTTATATCGGTGAAAAGAAAATCGTGAGTTTTATTTCGTCAAAATTTCATACAGATATGCTATTTTGATTAAATTTTGATTATTGTTACCATGGATTCGTGTATTCAAAATACAATCTCTCGTCCAGAAATCCTAAACGAGAGTCAAACGTGACTTCCGCATTGTTTGTTAACTTTTAGGTCGCGTTCATATTACTACCCACTTTCGGTTCATAGTAATATGACCCGAAACGTTATTTACGTGATTAACATAGTGGGATTGCAGCGCAAATGTTAATATTTCGATATGATAATATACTACTGCATGGTTACACTTCAATTGTGCGTGATGCGTTGGAGTGACTACAGCTGTATTTATTGATACAGACAATACTTATTGGTAAATATAATGTTGATTGGTTTGTCCGAATTAGTGTCAGTTTAAAATTCGCCCATATTCATAATATTTGCCTGCACATTAGGCTTGTTTCTCTACATATAACTAAGTACTTCTGCAGCCAAGTAGAATTCCATTAGTGTAGTGTCAACTTGATATACGCTCACATGTACACTATCATATATGTAACATGAAGCTTAATATGCTCTGTTTAAATACTAGCACATTTTCATTCCAATACCTTAGAAGCAAAAAGTATGATTTCATTTGATTAATGGTTTGAATTAAAGTTTGTAAGGTGTAAGTGTCTGAGATACCAACGTATTACAAGTGACGATTGGACTACTAGTACGACAATATGATTATTCATTGATGTACAACATATCATGCACCAATGAATTATACCCGAACTTAAATAATCATTTTATAAGTTACTTATTGCAATTTAATTAAAAAACAGAAAACATTCCGTTAGAAACGTTTTAAATAAACACTGGTGTACACTAGCTAATCTGACTATGCCTGCGGTCTAGTATGACTAGTCACACTGTTTATATAAACTTTCTGTAAGAAATGATCGGATTACAGCATCTGAGAAATAAGGATCCTGTTAAATCGTATTTATTTACTTTCCGAGGGGAAGGTATCGTCGTCATAGTAAAACACCTTACATCGAACCGTAGATAGAACCGTCATTGTTCATAATGCTAAATTTGAAATAAAATGTATTAGATTTCATAAAAAAGTACAATAAAAATGTAACATTATGCTAATTTTATCATATTTTTATTCACAAATTCAAAATCAATGCGGAACACAATTGAAATGTAACTTTTTTTGTATCAATTAATATGGAACTATGGTATATTTCATTTAAAACAAAAAGGAAAATAGAAATATTTCGGTTATTACAGAAAAATAAGCATTGTAGAAAGTGATTCATAAGTGATAATTTGTTTCTGTTTCTGTATTATAATTTGTCGTTTATTTTCATAGTGACTATTTATCTTTATTATATGTTGTGATATGTAAGTGTTCATGTTTCCACCTTGATAAAGGGAAGGATTGACCTTACAATGTGACAAATTCCTTTGTCTTTACTGTCGTTATTACCTCTATGCCAATAAATGTACATATATAAAGATATGAAATAATGCTGAACATTCGCCAGGGTTAGCAAGGCAAAGGGGTTCTTTTCCCATGTCGAGACATACCAAAGTCCTTACAAATGTTAGTCGCTATCCCTGCTTAATGTGCAGCATTTAGTGTTACCGCAACAACTGGTTTACTCGTTGTCAAGATAATATAAATTGACGGAATACTGTGCTGGGTGTTGGTTATGGTATTTCAGTGGGATATCACTATACAGTCGAAATCAATTCCACGAGATGTAAAGTACACAAACATACTCTGTCTCCGGCAAAGATACACGCATGCACGCAAACACAACACACATGGAAGCATGTCCTAAAATGGCATTAGCTGTTGATAGGACGTTAAACCCTATACAGTAAATCAGTATAGATAAGATGTTTAATGAATTAATTTATATGAGATATTTCAATACGCTTTTCTTGATTATATTTTTTTTAGATGCATGGTTGACAGTATGAATATATATTTTTTATTCTATCGTGTTTAAATAAATGTGCTTTCGTAATGCCTATTATATCACAAGAAGCCGATCATTATTTTTTAAAACATTCTACAGTTTTAGTGATGTTGACTTTCTTTTGGTTCGATTCGTAATCGGGAAATAATGGCACGCGGACAAAATAAGAACAAATGAAAGTTTTGTACAGAAGTTCTTGAACAAAAATGAAATAACTTTGCATTAACTAAGACGTATATAGCATGCAGCTTTAATCTCCCAGAAATGCTCAAAATGCAGGAGCAAATTAAATAAATACTCTCACCACCATTAAATAATTTGGATACACACGTTGGACACATTACAAATATTGAATTAAGAACTCATCTCAATAACTTCATTTCGTAATAACTAGGATACCAAATATCAACAGTCGTTGATACCATTACAATAGTTTATTACGTAACTACTATTTTATCAGTTTCATAACACCAGCTATAAATGTGTATAAATCTGTTTTAACCAAACGTCTAATAACCTAGTGAAATGTTGCCTACTGTGTTTAGTTACGACCTCACAACTTCATGGTAGCACAACAGTTAGACCTGAAGTGTGACATGACACAATAGAAAGGCTTTGCACCAAAAAGTCGATATCTTAATGGGTTTTTTAAGCATGTTATATGATAAATGGAATCTGATATTCATTTCAATAGCATAGACTATTTAAAAAAGTGTCACGATGTTTAATTGTTACTCGCCATCGCGAATAGAATAGATCCCCTATTTATAACAGTTTATAATCATTAGGGTACACTATGCTTATGTTTATATATTACGACACTATGCAAACTTATGAAGTGTAGCTACCTGCAGTCTGATATTATTGGATAAGATACAGGGGATATTTTACAGCTTTTATCGCTGTGAACTTATCCAACGGAAAGATGGAACGTATTACTCTGTGACTAGTTTAGTCTAGTGTAGTTTTGGAAGAAAAATAGCATCCATCAAAAATAGAAGTCTGCATCCTTGAACCGCAGATACAAGTATATATATATACACACAACTAATTCTTTGTTTAGAAAGGGTATACATTGATAACATCAAAAACTAAATCAGGAGTACTAACACTGAGCGGTTCCTACACCATGTGGTACTTGTGCTAATGAATGTGGTATCTCAGACAATAATCAAATTAGTGTTGGTTGTTTTCATTATAATATGTTTGAACAGCAAAAACCTTGACGCATCTTGAACAATATATTCGTTTCTTGTGTAAAATTTACCAAACGTTTTAGATGTAATGTAAGGTCAAATAACCCAAACTGTATAGTTATATGAGGGGATGTACAGTGTAATTCCTAAAATAATAAGTAGACACTGAAACGTGTTTTACTTTACAATATTTATTGGTAATCAATATAAAATGAAGTCAAACATCCAGCAATACCACAGGAATGATATTTTTATAAATATATCACAAATACATCTTAAATAAAGAATACACGTATGTATTACATTTAAAATTGCAGCTCAACACATACATCGACGTGTTTCAATGCATGCGAATTTCTTGGGTAACCGTTTAGGTTAATCGTAATTAATATCAAGTTCTTTTTATAACCAAGGTTAATATTAAGGCTAGTTCATTCGATATCCGATCTATTTGATTGAAATAATTTGCACTGATCATGTGTTTTTCAAAACATTTAAACGTCCTTGAATAAAAGATGTCATCCGTCATTGTGCTCCACAGGTGATGCAGGTTTCAGGATGGCAATCATGTATTGGACAAGGCTCCCATCACGGATACAGAAATAGTTTGGTGAAGATTACACAAATCAGCATCAGGGGAGAAACTCCAAGCCTTATGGATCCACTTTTGTCTAAAAGAGGAAAAAAAAGGTATCAGAATGTGTGCAAATTGTAGGAAAATGATTCGGGGGGTTTTCTATTATTTTTAATGATATAAGTTCGTTTTTGTGATGCACAAATAAATTTATGTAATAAAACTTTTGTCAAAAAGTAATTGTTTGACCAGTTTTTCCAGAAGGTGTGGATACCTTCGCCTGACCTGTGGACACGTATTGTTTGTGATTTTTTACTTAATATAGGTGTTCAGTTGAACGTCGTGTAAATGGGGTAAAATCCACCTCAAGGAGTGCAACTTTTTGTCTGGAGTGGTCAAATATCTTTAAGATCTCAAATACAACTTTGATACGGCGATACGACCTATATATCGTTGAAGTAGTAAAAATCAATAATATTCTGTTCTGGCATTTTGTTTTAAACTTACCGCTTGATTAAGCTTAAAATTTCGGTTTTCAATAAAAACATACTTAAATGCAAATTAACAAGTTAAACTGACAGTCTAGTAGATATATATTATTGTCACTTTTTTAACACCAAATAGTCTGATAATACAATAAGATTTCATTCGCCATTGTAAAGAGTATGCATACAGTTTTCAGGATGGTAAATTTGTTTTTGACAAGGCTCCCTTTTCTGACATCAGCAGCAATGGAGATAAACCGCGCCTAATTGATCTTTTTCTACGCTTAAAAAACCCAGTACACGTACTTTATCAGAATATGAGGAAATTGTAAGATACTGGTATATTTCTTTGAATATTTTTGATAGTTGGTCGTCTATGTGATGAACATTAGAAATTAATTGGAACAACACTTTTGTTCAAAAAATAAATAAAAAAATACCTGGTTTCCCTGCAGGTGTGGTTACCTCTGCTTGACCTGTAGACACGAATTATTAAATTGGATGATTTGTTTTTCACCCCACTGAGAAAATATTTTATGTTTGAGTTTGTTCAGAAATAACTGCATATAATATTTTACTCAATATTGTTGTTTAGATTAGCATCGTGTTAATGGGGTAAAAAAAAAACCGACTCCAGGAGTGCGACATTTTATCTAGGGTTATATAATCACTTTAAGATCTCAAAAAAACCTTTGATACGATGATACGAACTATATAAATCAACGAAGTACTAGACACTTAATTTTAATAAAAACATCAAGAACATTCTGTTAGGGTATTTTGGTTTTAAATTCATCCTCGTTTGAGCCTGATTTTCGGTTATGTAAACACTTCGATATTCTCTACAAACACATTTAAATAAAAATGTACAAGATAGACTGACAGCCAAGTAGATATATCTTGTTATCCCTTTTTAACACAATTTAGTCTTAGAATACGATAAGATGTCATCCGTCAATGTGTACAATATTCATATAGTATGGATGGTAAATTCGTTTTTGACAACGCTTTTTTCACAGATAAAGAAAGAAATTTCCAACATCAGCAGCAATTGAGATAAACTGCGCCTAATTGATCCTTTTTGTGCCTTATGAAAAATAGTACGTTATTAGAATGTGAGGAAAGTTATTCTTTGTATATTTCTTTAAATATTTTTCATGATAGTAGGTCGCTTATGTGATGAAAAACACAGTATGTGGTAAAATACTTTTGTCCAAAATACAAATCGCTTTTACCTGTTTTTCCTGCAGGTGACTTGTAATTAGGTATACTGTATTAGAAACATGTGTGTGTATGTAGATATAGCTTTAGAATATTTGAAATTTATATTTCTTTGACGTTTCAATGTACATGACAAGCTTTTATGAAGAATGAGTAAAAATAGAAGAATCCAAAAAGCCATCGTTGCTTTTGACGATGTGTCAGTTAATTGGTAAATGTTCGTATGAAGTTTGTTTTTATAGAGAGGAAATTTTGTAAGTCATCCTTTGATTTCTTCCAAAACATAAAAGAATCATTAAGGATTATCTTGCATTTATCTGCGAGGTATTGTTTTACCACTTGATGTCCCCAATTATACATTCCGGCCAGGAGGCAAATCCATACTTCGTATATAAATCCGATCATCAAAGGAAAATCAGACACATATCTTGACATAAGTAATAACACGTACTCGCAGCTGCCTCTTGGTCAAAGGAAAAATACAATTAAAGATGAACATTTAAGATGGTTCAGACAAGATGAAAACAAAATGAAAAAATACTAAATTCTTCACAAGTTAACGCAAACCGAAGAATTTTGGGAAATTACTCATCGGTATAGATTTTTCGTCAATAGCAGAAACCCACAAAGTCAGTGCATGCAACGAACAAAGATGTGGAACGCGCAGTCATTATATAACAGACTAGATTAGGTTTAGAACAGTTTCTAACAGGAAGAGTCTGAGAAGTCAAATCACGTTTAAACTTTAAATCTAAAAATGGGAATATTATAATTGTTGTCCCAAGTGAGGCAGATAAAATAACAATTAATAGAACATAATGTTACTATGCACATAACATTATTGCAAAGTGGAACCGTTTGTGCGGTTAAATTACTTTAAAATTATATATAAACACAGAAATAATATCGAAAGTGCTGCCGAAGGAATTGGTCACATTTTCGAGGAAATCCGCCCGTTTATGAAGACAGAAATGTGAACAATTTCATATCAAAGCATAGAGCACAGAACTAAACAGTCACCCCGAAATAATACTGCATCACAAATTACATAACAATTCTACATAAAAAATACGGAAAACTAGTTATTAAATGTAATAATATAATCTGCTGATGTTAACGCACATTTTTTCAGCCGGCTGATCGCCGAAGTTTACATATTACATTAAATAGTTCACTTTTAGACTATAAAATCAAGTGAATTAGGTGAGAAATGTAAATAACATTTTCACATAACTATTTTTTTTACAATGTCCTACGGCCACACGCGTGTAATAAAACCTCAAGGTGCTGCGATTACCCAAAGCCGTTGGAACACATTCCTACGCCACTACAGGTACATATTTATATTTAACTGCATTCTTTACGATATATTTTAACTTTTGTGCTATCAATGCATTTGAAATGTTTATTTTGTCGTTATTCTTTTCATTGCATATAAAACTGTTCATTATTTGTGTTTAATCTGGTCCATTTAACACTGCGCCGAACGCAAATATTATGAACGGAGCACATTTGCGTTGACCTGTGTAGAATTAGCTGGTACTACATATTTGTGTTTCATTCTTTTCCCCAAATTATGAATGTTATGTGATAAATAGATTCTTATATGAGTGTCCATGCCATATTGAACATAGTAAACGTGTTCAATAATTGTATGTGACATTAAAGGCTCGTGTCATATCAAATTATTGAACTCGTTTAATAAATTTGTTATGACATAGACAATCATGTAAGATACTCTTTGTACAAAAGTAAATAATTCTATAAACGTTGTGTGACCTACGTAATGTGGCATACTTACCTTTTAAATATATATAAATACAACCCATATAAGAAGAGAAATGGTTTTCTCACCAGTTGGAGGTACACATGCAGCTTTGCAGGTTCCACTGTCTGCTGCTGATCCACATGGTCCACTCTCACGTGTACATGCGGTAATATAGGCTGTAAACAGTTATTAAGAAAAAGAAGATGTGAAAGTCGTCAACAAAATCAGTGTTTCTACATAGGACCATATAAGGATTAGTATTTTATATACTTTGCATTGCAGACACTGCATCATCATACAAATGCATGTGCAATTAGTTTCACAGAAAAAATAGTCTGTTGATTGATCAGTGACTTTTTATTGTTATTCTTTTTATTGTTTTTTTATTATTTTTATTGTTATTTTATATAACTCCTGTAAACCATTTTTTTTAATAAAATGATATTTTAATGTATTTTAGATAAAAAAAAATGGTGATACGTACCACCAACTATCGGCGTATGGTCGGATTCTGTTTGAAAGATACGAATGACTTTAATATAGAAAATCCATTGTATTGCCATTATTATGAAAATGATGATGATTACATTATTTATAAATACAACAAAGGAGGACGAAACCATTTTTTCTGTTTCGAAAGAAGATAATATGTGTACTGTAAGGCGAGTAATGTGTAAATGATACAATGGTAAAATGGTTATTAAAAAGACTATACATTATTATTACTGCAAAGTCAAAGCTATACCGTTCCGAACTGAACTATTACCGTTTACAAAATACAAGACATGTTAAGTACATCCCATTGATAAGTCGAAACAATTTATTAAACTTACTTTCGCATGTCCATTTACATGGTTTGCCTCCTGGACAGGGATCCGGTGTACAAGTAGCGGCAACTGAAATATATACAACAAATGTCAATGGTTAAGTACGTAATGTGATTCATGTTATTAATTGAAAATCGCAGAAATTGTATAACATCATTTGAAACTACATATTTTGAAAAAATAACCAAAGTTTGTATAAAAAAACGCAAAAACTACTAGAAATTATTGATAACAAATTGACGGGCTTTTCACTGTTAGGACTGATTTCGTCCTTGATAACTTATCCTTTTCTAACCTCATGGTCTTAACCATCCATGAAGAAAAAAGATAATATAGACCAAATTACTCAAAGTAAGCTTTATTTTTCGATCAATATAAATCAAAGTACTGAAAAATCCTGATACACAATGGCATTGAACAATGATAATTTTTGACAGCGATCATTGTGTGGTAACAGTTTTACAGAGGATTTTGTTTCTTTGAAATAATAAAAGTTTTTAAGTGAATAATAACCCATTATAGTCCTCCATAGAGGTGTAATGGCATTGTGAGGAGTGAGACACATGACAGGTACATGTACATGTAGTAAGATTATTTGGATTTGCTCAAAGAAACTTGACTCGCTAAAGCTATCTTGGTACTTTCATTACTAATGTGATACCAAATTATTATGAAAAACGACAAGCTGCAAAACGTATCAGTTGTGACAAAAAGGCAGCATATTGCAATGGTCATGAGAAGCATAAAAACCGAATTATTCTGTGTTCATATCACAAGGACTGAAAAGGAAGACAGGAACGTTTTGCAACAGCGTCTACTACTCTATATCATTTAGTTTTGATGAACATAAACAATATCATTATGGATCGGTAGGTTTGTTTTGAAGCTTGAAATGGTTATAAGGAGATGCCATACAATACTGCTCATCTGATTAAACAGCATAATTGTATTATTCAGTTCATTTTACGACATTTGTAAATCACTTTTTATTTTTAATTTTATGCTTATTCACTTCGACGATTTATTTGCATCGATGTGTGTTGATTCGGTGCTATTATTTCACAGGCGTTGTCTTTAAGTATAGATCCTACCTAAATAACCTTAGCTGTTAATAGGACGTTAAACAAAATCAAACAAACAAACAAACAAACAAACTTGCCACATAAATACTAATGAGTTACAGATAGATAAAATGGTCATATAGTGCAGTATCTTTTAAATTGTATTTGGCTCTCTGAAATGACATATTTAAAAAAAAGTTGTTTTAGTTACCTGGTATTTCTAGCAATACTTTCCTTTTATACATTTTTAAATACTACAATTATTAATTCATTTGTCACGTATAATATCCAACAAGCACTATTTATGCATCCGGCACCAGATTGATTCATGTATTTCTTACTTAAAGTATCTTGAACAATCATACAGCAACTGTTAAAGATGTCCTATACTTCTTGACAACAGGTAAATTTATTGCTGATTTTTTTAGATCCCACTGCTTCTAATAAAAGCCTAAAGAAACATTACATGTAAGCGATATCCGTGATGACGATCGTATAATGTATTAAAATCAGCAAGCATAATGTATTCATTCGAACTCTAATGTACGACAGAACTAACTAACCGATTAGGTCGCGAAAAATCCCACATTTTTGGAAGAAGGAAAGGCTGTATTACACAATGACCATTAATACATTTCCAGAGACTGCTAGAACAATATCAATTAGAAAACATATTCATCTGCGTATACAGGTACAGCAATTTTCCATAGATAATATTTGTTTTAACTAAACGACAATAACCACGTGATAACTAACTAATAATTGCATTGTAACGTCATGCTTTCAGCACTTCCAATGCTGATGGAATATTTCAATTTCTCGTTTGCAACCGTCAAAATTGACATACATGGCACACATGAGTGTTACTCGAGACAAGGCGTCCAACGAACTGTGAATGATCATATTCCGTGTACTACTCCTATATTAAGCTTATATAGTAACGATACATTATCTAAGTCGATATGATAACCACCGTGACTTCTGCAGATTACTATATATCTTGTGAAGCATACTTGTATCTAATAAAAGCTATACATGATGTGTTACACTTTCTTACCAGGGGCTGCAACACACGCACTCTTGCATTCGCCTGAAGATCCACAAACAGCTTTAGAAACTGTGCATACGGTGTTGTTGGCTATGAAAAATACACACGACATGCAATTTAATATTATGCAAAATATGTAATCTTAACATATAACTCATATACACATTTATGAAAGCAATTATCTCAGATAATTTGCACATTTAAAATAATTAAAAATGATATTTTTTAACGAACCATTCCTATCGGTTCGTATACCCTTTAGCTGGGTATACCGTACATCCTGTGTTAAAATTGCTTTCACGTTAGATCAACTTGACTGCTTTGCCCATAAGGAAAAAATAATAAGAGTGCAGATCAGATGTTCATTTGCAGATAAAGACTAGAAACACGACCAATTAGTTCTAATGGTGACCTTTGGGATATAGATCGAAGTGTGCTGCACAATAGGCCGTCTTGTTTTTATGTACTTCTCTATACCAGTTGTCGCAAAATTCTCGAGACGAGCAGAACTTATAGTTTAAAGAGAAAGTCAACTGACAAACGTGATATTTCTACGCCCTCCCTTACATTATACAGGCATGAATATTATAACTGATATGATAGACTGAGTATACTTACCATCAGCTATTTGAAGCCCGTTTTCTGTTTGAAAGATAATAATTTAAAGAGTATAATATTACTCAGCTAGAGGAATGTAATTACGAAAAGGAACCAAGGAAAGAGTAGGTTACGTGTTAAATAAATCGTGTTATTTGCGAAATCAAAGCAGTGGTTTTTTTTTAAAGTTTAACAACATGACATGTCCTTAGATACCCGTCATAAAAAGATAAAATAGGAAACTTAACTTTAGAATCGTACAACTCAAATATACTTACTATCGCATGTCCATTTGCATGTTTTACTAATTTCACATGCAGACGGTGTACATGTTGGGGTAACTGAAACATACGAAAAATTGTGACTATCAGTATCTAAATATTACAGTTGCATTTGCATAGGTCAACACAGAAACACTGCATACTGCTTTCAATTGTCAAGTTTACAGCTACCGTTTATTTAAGAAATTATCAGCGTGTGTGCGTGTTTGGGAAAAATTAACGAAGGCCTCTCTAATAAAATGTAGCGAAAGTGGTTCGTGTCTACCGCGGTGACCATACGCGTTTGATAAGCAAATTTAACCTAGATAATCTGATCATTTAAATTTGGCTGCTCTTTTGTGAGTGCTAACATTTGTATAATTTAACCTTGATATAATTTGGAAGGATTTTCATTTTCACTGCGATTTTGTGACGATAAACAGTAAACACTAACGTTATGCTTTATGTCAGATGTTTATTTTAATCAATCAAATTCACCAATCTATCGACATCGCTCGTCTACGCGTGGATTCAGCATTTTGATGATTTACAAATACTATTTTAGTCATCTTGGCGGTCAGTTCAGCTTGACAGGTGTTTTGTCATTTTTTTTATATTTGCGTGCTAGCATATCTGCAAATACAGTCAAACCTGCCTTAACGGCCCTCTGTATTCAGCGACTTTGTGTCATATGCGATCTAAACTAAAAATGTCCTCCAATTGTAATTCACTATGTGAAGCGACCACATGTCCTATGCGACAAGCGACCGTTAATTTTCAATCCCAAAACTATAATTTCTTTCAATTTAGCGACATTACATTCTGAAAACTAAACCAGAAGTGAAATCGCAAACAGTCGTGAACGTAATCGGTACACTTCGGCTGGTTCCGTGTCGCGACTGGGTACTAAGATAAAATATTTTGCGATAGGAAAACGAGATTTTAGTGAGTAGTGTTGACCTATCGTCAAGGAAGCCATAACTCGTATCACGGTTATGTGTAGCCTGGCTAACAATCGCATCAAAAAGAAAAGTATTAGCATTACAACAACAAATTGAAGAAATCAAATCGTAGGATGAGGGAAACCGTCTTATAATAATAATAAAGGCTTTATTTATTCTTGATAACATATTGAGTATGAAGCTCATCTTACATATGGTCAAGATACAATGTATGATAAAATGTACAGTAATACAATCGTGGTCGATTATGATATGGAGAAAACACAGATTCAAAATGTACGAAAACGAAAAACTGAGCTGTTGGAGGACTTTTAAAAAAGATTTGCTTAGAACGTCAAAAAGACGAGAATATTTAACCGGAAATGAGGACATTAACGATTTGACATACGAGTGGTATAAAGATACTGTTTCACGACGCAAAAACGTAACGGGTCCCTTATTACATACGAAAGTTCTTAAGTGTGTGTAGGATTTAACTCATCGGTGTGTGTTGGATTTTACCTACAAGTGTGTGTAGGATTTTACCTACCAGTGTGTGTAGGATTTTACTTCATTCCAACATGCTACTTTACAAATATCACGGTCACTTATATATTTTTGCTAATATTTTACTCAATTTTACTGATAAAATGTTTCATTTAACTCTTTCTTTATTGAGACGGAAATTTGGTAATCCGTCTACGGCTTTTAATTAAGGATCGACAGGTAGCCATGAGTAGCCATAAGTAGCTTTGCTCAATCGCTATTGAGAATTTGTAAGCAAGAACAAAGTATATACTGTGGTGAGTTTTGATATATTTGTTATAATATTGTTAGTTAACGACATGTACATAGTTGTTGTTCATCTGTGACATTTCTAGTCATTTTACCTGTTGTTGTATACATGACAATACCTGTTTATCGGGTGCACATTGTTTGCATTCGCGCGCACGATGCGTATATACTGTTTTAGTTTTATAAGATCTATGCGATTTATAAGCTTGTTAACATATATTGTTTAAGCTAGTATTATCTATAAACAATTCCCATGTAATTGCTCATTTTCGTCCAGTGTGGACTACAATGTACATATTTTGGCTCCGTGTGAACCGAGTGGTGTGTGCTGTTGTGTGTTGTATAGGGACCACGGAACCAAATCAAAAATATATTGTGTTTTTTTCCCTTTTAGGCAGAAGATTCAATAGGAAGAGGAATGCCTCGGGGCCCGCTGGTTGGATATTTAGGTGGCAGAAGTTTCAAAAATGTTATGTGTGGGTTGAGCAATATATATAGATGTAATATGCATAAAAAAAATTAAAAAAAAGGCTGCTTTTGTCTGGGTGAGTTTTATAAAGTGTGTAATTTGTCATTTTTTGTCGATTTTTGGTGCCGAATTAAATAAAAGGTTCAAATTGGCAGAATTTTTAAATATTTTATTTACAGTTGTTTGAGATGATATTCTTCAAAATGAGGGCAGGTAAACCAGTATGGATAACCCCATTTAACCAGGACAGTGGTAAACGTTAACACTATCGTCTATGGAAAATCATTTGTTTCTGCAGTCCCTATACATTAATTACCCGCGTAGTGAACCCTTTAAACGGACGGACTGTGTTATTTGTGGACACTTTATGTCATTTAGTCTGTACTGTTCATTTCGTGAAACACCTCATATGGAGTTTGCTGAGCACATCAACACAGGAGTTATGGTCAAGGTCGTCAAGAGGAGAGACGGGACCAGGGACTACAGACCGCGATTGACGATCCTTGTAGTGATCACAAGTATCCAGGCAGTTATTTTCATATAGTGACTGGTCCATTGACTTTTGCAGTATTGGTATATATTTTACTTGCTTTGTGTGATTCTAGTGTTGCTGTATATACTTACTTTTTGTGTGCTTAGAAATTAACAAAACTATAGTGCATATTGTGTAAATTAAATTTTGTTTATATTGTAATTTATTCTTGGTGTCATTCTACACCACACTTGAACTGTCACGCTCGTCCATAGTTACAACACAAATCATCACCCTAGGCCTTTCGGTTATTCAGAAGAAACTGTTTAAATTTGTTCAACGCATTTGACCGCTTTGATCTTGAATATGTGCAAAGGTCATTCATTTGACCAAACTTGATAGCACTTTATTCCTGCATGCAACGCGCCAAATATCATTGGCCTATGCCTTATGATTACCCGGAATTTTTTAACTTTGACACAAGATGAAAAACGGTTGTATTCATTTTTCTGGACAAAACAATATTTATATAAGAAAACGTTTTCTCTGGCCGAATTATATACAGTGTATAATGTACAGAGGTAAACTTTGTTACTTAGACGTTAACGATATTATCACTAGCTGTTTCATGATTATCAAATCAGAGCTCAAAGTTACTATCTTGGATTTTCTATTGCTTTAAAATTATCACAATTTTAACGACTTCAATATGTACAGCTGTTTCCTTGAAAAGCAGATAAGAGCTTTAATATCTCAATTGCTTTGATAATAAACGTCAGGCCGAGAAGGCAGTATGGAAAATATTTGTACAACGTATGGATGAAATTGGCATGTATAGAACGCAGAAAAAAAGTGATTTATTATATCGATGGCTTTTTAAAACGATCAATGCAAATTATCAAAATGTTGTATGGAAGCTGCTGCAGATTTCATCGTGTTGGAATTCCCGATCGACTTTAAATTTGTTTTTATATTTGTTACCCCATTTTGAGCATTTAATTTGACCTTTTCTCTAACAACAATTCTTAAGAAAAAATAAGCATTGACGTGAATAAAATAAATGTTCCATTATTACATAAATTGTGTAGCATGACAAATACAGTGTTATAGCAGTTTTAAAAACGCGTTACTTTCAAAAGCTAATTTAGGTTATAGTGGCCATAGTGAATGTTTTATGAATCTTAAAGTCTTTGTGTAACAACTTTATCTTATGTCCTATAACATGTTGAAATAGCATATCCATATCTGCCATCGTTATAAAGATATTTCCCTCAATTGGTTTGCTGGGAAAGATGAAGTAGAAAAAAGACAAAATCTGTTGGTGGAATCAGATATATACACATCGCTTGAAAAGGCTCAACCCTTTCGCAATTAACCTAGTACAATTCGTTGAAACTTTCACATAATGGTTATGGAACTATGTAAAGGTGATTTTATGACAACCTAAACATTCAGATAGACTGGGGATGTTTTGGGGGAAAATACCCTAAAAGTTGAATTTTAGTCAATTTTAATATTTTACATTATTTTGGTATATGGCATTGTTCGGAACATTAACAAAAATAAAACAATTAATAGAAGCATTGCTTATTAAACTTGCAATTATTTTATTTGTCACAAAATATATAAAACATGTTAAACAAATTGTTTTTTATTGGAATTGTATGGATACAAGTAATTATCTACAAGCTAAAAGCAAACAGGACTCATAATTTCATACAAAAAAAAAGAGTGAAAAATAAAAAATAAATATCCACATTGGCTTTACAATTTATTTATTTTAGATTTTACAATCACTTTGAGCCCGATGAGAGTTGTCTTCCTTGAAAAAAATCGGAACTTTTTGCAAAGGGATAAAATTTACGCAATGACAGTTATCTCTTTCTACAAACATGTTAATCGAAATGATAGAAATTAGTTAAAAATATTATATCATTTTTTTAAATTAATTGTTCTTTTATGGAACCAAATTACTCTCAATCGATTACAGTTTGGACATCATTCCACATCCCGCTAGCGCATTGTATATCTACATGTCAGGTACATATGTAACCAGCTGAACAGAGGCCATCCATATTGCATGCCGTTCTCAAGTGCACCCACACATGCATTTTTATAGGGATCTTGATATTTTACAAAACACCATTTTCAAATAGTTAGTGATCTGCATATGTAAAAATAATTTACACGACAGAGCGTAACTCGCGCTACAGCAAAACTCGTACCGACCTCGAGCTAGCGGGCTGATGTAAACACGTGATACGTGCATGTGAGGTTAGTACACAAAACACATCAGTCCCGTTCCATGTGTTTCATGTATGACTTTGTTGGGGTCGTCTGGTCTCATGTCAGTGTCTTACCGCGAGTCGATTTATGTCTTTGTATCGGATGCTATATTCCGTATTAGTACGTGTGATTACACATTTCCCAGTGAATTCGCGATATCGGTAGCTGACATATCATCGGCATGCACATGTACAATTGTATACCCGGTGTTACTATAATTACGCAATACGGAAATAACGACACGAAAATACGACAAGAAAAGCATGTGTATTACGAAGAGTGGGAAGTCCTTAATAGTAAGAGTGCCAATAACAATTGCCATGTCAAAGCATGGACATGGTTAAGCGTAAAGTTATTATGAATGTATTTGCCTAATATGTGATGTCGATAATATCAATGATATAGAAAGATAGGAGAGGGGGCAGACAGAAAACACGTTTTCGTGTTTTGAATTCAATTGTCTATGAAGAAAGATAAATTATCACCAATAACTTAATATATGTTACTTTAAAGGGACATCACGTGAAAAGGCGTTTTTTTTAATGAATGTTTGTATTGTATGCACTTCCACTTATGTTACCACGCTATCCCCATATTCATAGTCCGTGCCAAATGTCCAGTTTGACCGCTTGAATTGTTCGGGAAAGCCCTGTTAAAAATAGCGCCGATAACGTCACCTGACTAGGCAGTAAACACAAATGGTGCGAGCGAGATGAAACGGTTTCCAAAGGGGCCCCCAGAGAGGGGCCGTCAGGCAACTGCAACTTCTTACCGCACTGTGAAACCAAGTTATATTATTTCTAAGTCCGTATTCAAACTTATTGAACAGTAATTATTCATCATTAGAAGTTAATTGCACACTTGCCAATATTCAGAATTTAAATTTAGCTTTAAACATAAATTTGTTGCCAATACAATTAAACAAGGGATGGGGCACAAGTTTTTACAATTTATCACAGCCTTCTCCCGTCATACATTTACAATTAAATGTCAACAATGTTAATAGGCATAAACATAAAGTAGATATATTTAAATATATATATTGAATTTAATACCGGAATGTGGCCGGTACAGATGGTACATGTACGTGGCTTAACACCTTACCTACACCAAGGGACAAACCTTTCCGATTTTTTTTTTAATATGTTGCCGGGGCAGAGGAGGCCGGGTATTCATATTAGTACTTATTTAAATCTTGCATGTAAATACAAAAATAATCGTTTAATTCAGCAATATAATTAAATCATACCATTTTATTGAACCCGGTAATATTATAAATTATGTAAATCCACGGACTTCGATAACACGTATCTCGGTGATCCAGAAAATACGCCATGGGTCATCACAACAGTTATCCCTTGGAGGGCCTCATGGAAAAATCAAACTAACCAGTCACGTGTCCCTTCCTTTCGCATTAACCACTGTATAATTATAGAAACACAAAGTAAGCTCTCTCTAATACTTGCCCATTAACATATTAAACTAAGTTCATCTGTGTTCAAACTCAGACATAGAACCTAGCGAGTTTTATAGTTTTAGATATTTATTCATAACATAAACAGCGCTAGCATTTCTGTCGATTCCATTTCAGCTTAATCGGCTATCCGGAAGAATACATGCACCGCACTAACTGCGACGGCAGTTATTTTCTCCTTTGAATACTGCCCACTTGCAATAATGATTCCGTAACGTACTCTTTGCGCTATCTTTTGACCATTTGTCAACTTTTCGTGTCGTAGCTGACACGGTACAACCCTTTTCTTTCGCTTACTTTACACGGCCAGTCATTTTGTTTACAAAGAAATGGTGTGCTATGCGCATGCGCTAGTAGAGGGAAATCCCTGAACAAAACGTTGGTCAGACAGGTAGAAATACCGATGATTTTCTTAGATTTAATCATTTTTATGAATCTTTTTCAGCCAAATCCGATCCTTATTTTCCATAAGGAGTCTCACTTGATATGTTTATGCAGTATTTGAAAAAAGGGCAAAAATTAAAGTTACTTCACCGTGATGCCCCTTTAATACCATTACCATTAGTACGGGGGTCAAAGCTTAGTTTTGAATAAAATTGAATATTCTGAGACATTTTTGAGACCTTTGACTGCATTATGCTATATTTTGCCATGCCTTAATTGTAAACATCATTCTATCCATATGGTTTATAACGGAATAGTGAAAGTGACCCTATCTGAATGTTTTTAATTGTTATTGGTTGATTATCATGTTTATGCGTGACAAACTATGATGCCCCGTGGAAAAGAATATGTTCCAGTATAAAAAATGACAGTTTAGTCTACAAATCAAATATCATCGATAAACGTAACACACACGCATAGGTGACTGCAATTTTAAAATTTGGTATTAGATACAGTTTCCTTAAAAATTACACTACATCATGCAGGTGTTTAGTTGTTCCAGGACTCATCGGTAATGCAATTGGCCAAAATAATAGAAATTCAAACGGTTTGAACTAGTGTTGAAACAGTGAAGCAGATACTTAAATCCTTTTGATCCATGAGTTGAAAGTTTAAAAAGAGTACCGGGAATTGCAAATTAAATTATATGTATCTGTAATTATCACCTGTCTTCTTGCTTTAATCCCCCTTTCTAACTCGATCTAGAGCTTAATGAACAGCTTTAATGAGTTAATTACCGACTGCCTTAAAATAATTTGTATTCCATGTATTGTTTGTTTTGCTTTTCGCTGCACAGTTTAATATGAAGACAGGCTCTAAAAGTGAGATCAAAATAGAAATAAAAGGTACAGTTAATTAGTCTATGTCAAGTCTACGTTTCTACATTCATGATAAAGGAAACACAAATATGTGCAAAGCGACAAAAGTTTTAGAACAACAAAATGTTAACTCACTGCATTGAACAACTGCCATAATCAAAACGAACACAAGGCATATCACGTACATGTTGGCCTGAAACAAATTAAGGTGATAAATCAAATATCTGTTCTTTATCAAATTATATTGAATCACAATCTCAATGAAAAAAACTAACTCATGACTTATTTGCCATGATTGTGAATTAGGAATAACATTAATCACATCTGAAAATCAATTATTGTATATTTTGGCTACTCATAAAGCAAGAGATCAATTATTTCACTTACTTTCCTTTTTAAATGTTACGTTGGATGGACTCAGTTTTTCGCATATATCAGAATAATAAGCAATCATTTAATGAAAATCAATTCAATACACAGAAATAAATATTGCTGATGCTGATTATTTTTGTAACAAGCATATGTTGTTATAAATTAATAGTTCTTCAAAATGTAGAAGCTAGTTTTTATGTAATAGCCACTGTCTTAAACATGTAGTATTAAAACTACTCATAATAGATATGACGGTATATATTTCAAAAGGTTGGGCGCATTAAACTCGATAAAGGACAATACATTAGTGTCCTTCAAAAACCCCGTATAAAAGCATATAAGCATAAATCAGTATGATGTATTACATTATGTCATATAACATAATATATGCTTTATAGTTGAGAAACAAGTTGACTATATTCATATTCACTGTTGAAAAAACATTACTGCAAAAAAAAAACACTTTTGTATATTTACAGTGAATATGAAATCCAGAGGATATAGTGTGTTTTATGACATAATGTAATGTATCAAATCTATCTCGATGCCCTGTTATAAAGGACAGATATAATGTTTGATTAAAAGATGTTTCTAGTGCTTGTTTTTGCAAGGCGTTAGATTCATTATTTCTGATCACTTAAAACGAATGATACCCAAGAAACTTGGTCAATCAAATAAGGTTATCCTTTCTTAGTATATCCCTTTTTCCTCCTCTGATTTCATGCATTTTATGTATTCATATATTGAATCAAAGATTTTTGCAATTTGGCATAAATAGTGCTTCATCATTGGGACCTCATTGACTTACACCAGTGTGGGTGCTAAATGTCTGGTAATACAATTCAGCCTAGAGCATTCAAATGACACAAATGCTATACAATGATATTATCATCGTGTGCAACATATTCAAACTATTATTTTTATACCGAATATTACACTATTTCAAGAAAGATTTGTCCTTTTTATTGAAGATTAAAGCAGAAAAGTGTGTGAAATTTCATTTCTAAGGAGAACATTTTAATTTCTGACACGTCAATTTATATAGTTCTAAAACTAGTATATTTTTCTTACTCTACTTGCTGAAAAGTTGGCAACCAATAATATCTTTCAATATTAGGAATTTCAAACTGACAACCGGTTAATTTGTCATATAACATTTTTGGTTCCAAAAAAGGAAAACATAGCTTTCTTTCCACATTTCCTTTAACTTGTGTTTCTTCATGACTAAAGTTCAGTTGGTCTTAATATTTGGCAAGTAGATTGTTCATGTGAATAAGTTTAAGTGTTGTAATAAACGTTGATGACCTTGACCTTCGTTCAAGGTCACAACAATATAATGTGCTGAAATATATTTTGTGTATGGGGAGTTAGACAAGGATATCTTTCTTTGCTTTAATTGTTTAGAGTTAACGATATAAAGTAGTGTAATATTCCTTCATATTTTCTTTAATGAATGGGCAATAGGCAAACAAAAAATAATAAGTAGAACTGCAAGCCAAACATTAACTAATACCCCCGCTCCTATATAAGCCAGAACTGTAAGCTAAAGGCCAACTAAGACAAAGCATTGTAAAGCAATCCATTGTCCGCCACCAGTTAATATTTAAGTATATATGTCAACTGACATACTTCTTGTACTCCCTTATAATGCCAAAACATACTTTCATACCAAATCTTGTTAGCCCAGATGAACCAGTTTTGCTAAAATCGTACTAGTAGTTAAGGAAGAGTTGTCAAGACAAAGATTTTTAACAAGGGTCATAACTCCTTAAACAGGGTCGAAATGAAAATAATACTACCTTGATGCACAACATCGGGAGGTAATAACCATATCTGTAAACTTTCATTGAAATCGGCCCAGAAGTTTATGAGGCAGAGACAAAGATATGTTTTTATCAAAGGGCCATAACTCCTTTTTAAATATTAGAATGAAAACATACTATTTGGATGCACAATGCCAGGGGCAGTTACCATTTCTGTAAACTTCCGTTGAAATTGGTCCCATAGTTTTGGAGGAGTTGTCTGGACAAGTATTTTTCAACAAATTGTCATTACTCCGTAAAAAATAGTTAGATTGAAAAAAAAGGATACCTGGATGCACACCATCGAATGGTAGTTACCATATCTAAAAAATTTCGTTGAAATTGACCCCTTGATTTTGGAGGACATGTCCGGACAAGGATTTTTCAACAAAGGGCCATACCTTTGTTAATAAAAAGGGTCAGAATGAAAAATGAATACCTGGGTTCATAACTTCAGGTGTCAGTTATCATATCGGGATACTTTCGTTGAAATTGGTCCATTAATTAAGAAGGAGTTGTCCGGACAAACTTTTTTTACGGACAGATATACGTATAGACAAGCTGATTCCAGTATACGTATTCTAAAAAAGTACTTTACCGGTTTTGATATTACATAGATATTATTCTGTAAACAGAATACATGTATGGGTAGTTTTTAAAGAAGTTTAAAATATAGACTACCATTGTAATTATATAAAGGCAAGTTGATAATGCTGGTTATATTGAAAATTTTGTGAAAATTTTGCTTGTTTTTCTAACTAAAAGTGTCTCTACGCTTACTTCATGTATACCAATATGACATATTTAGTATCAAAATAACAAAAAAATGATACACAGTACACTATCTTTATTCATCTTCAAAATAACATTCGCCTGCGATGTGAATCAGTCATTTTGTTAGGATACCCCCGTCACTCAACCTGGTGTTATGCAAGGAGGTCCACTACGGTTATCAGTAGTCATTATGAATGATCATTTATGCAGTTATTGATCATTTTTATGTATCTACATATGGCAAAAGAATTAAAGAAATCAAAGTCATATAACCTTTATATTATATTACGATAATCTGATATCCTCATACTATCAGAGAGGAATAGTTAGCTGTATGAAACGCTTTAAATTCCAATTTAAAATGAAGCTGATACATACCATGTCGGCTGTTCTGTTCCTCACTTGTAAGTGTTGGATGGTGCTGAATGCGCTAGCTTATATATTCAGCGTAACATGACTGTTGATAAATTACCAAAGAAACGCGATGAACACCCCACACGTTATTGTGACGGCAAATTTAACGTTGTCAAGACTCTGTTGTCAATCTTCCATGTTACATGGATACCAAACACTTAACCACACCCACTTTACACCCGGGATAGCCAATCAACATACTGAGACAAAACGTTAATAATGAAATAAGAAGAGCGTCCATTTGAGGATACCTGTTGGAATGCGGGCAAAACCTCGAGAATACTGTTGTAGTTTTTTTCATGGATATAGTAGCAACTTCTTAATTTCGTTTTTATGATAACTGCAGCGAGGCTAGATAACTATCGGTTATCAGGTTGATACATCGTAGGTTGGTTAGAGGACAATAGTGTAAACGGTATGATTAAAAGGTCAAGCGTATTTGAATTCAACTCTGGCCCCTTCGCATTTTCTTCGAAACAAATTTGTTGATATTTTATCTGCTTTTTTTCGTCTTTAATAACTTGTTTTAATTGTTTTGATAAACGTTTGGTAAGGTAGACATTTCTTTTCAGAAATATTTTTATTAAAGCTTTTGATATGACGGTTAAAGGCTTGAAATTTCAAAAGTGTATTTTTTGGCAGTGGTATGGATTTTGTTTACAAAAGTTGTTGAAAAGGATTGTGGTTAGTGGAGGGTTTTTTAAGAAGAGAACTTTTGTTGAATTCCTAGGACAAAGATCTTTCGGACAATTCACATGCACTTCTCCACTAAGAATTTACTCGCTCTCCAGGCCCGATAATTAATTTTTGTTAATATCTCCTCAGTGTCGTATATATCGTATCTTTTCATTAACCTCTTAAATACATGACTGAAATCGATGTCGAGTGAAATTTAAAACCCGCGGATATAAAGGTATACCTAGGTCATAAAAACTCGTAACTGGATCATGCCAGATCTTGTAGAATGAAGGTATGTTGATGTTTAGAATATCCTTTCGGGGAGAGGGGATGCTAGTTTTGTGTCCTTCTTTTGTACTCGACTTTAATATCTTCTTATGTCCTGTCAAGCATATCTTCAAAGTATTGTAACTTCAATATTACATCTTCTGATATCATATCGACAATTAATTGATTCATCGCTTATGTTCATTATGTTTTCGCGCTCGCCTTTTTTTCTTCAATTTCGGTGACATATCCCTATTTAGCCCTTTGTTAGCAAATTGTAATCGGTTGCAGTTTTAGAATTATCCATTTCAGTGGGATTGAATTAAAATTCACCCATTTTTGAAAGTGCGATTATACTTTACAATTATCTTTGAGATTCCGAGCCATATACGCATACCGTCTTTGTATAACTACGCGTATTTATGTTTATCCGTTGCAAGGACGCAAAACCCTTAACAGAAAAGCATGCAAAGCAACATGTATCCAATACATTGCCCCTGCCTCTGCACTTTCATTTCAGGTAAACAAATTAAATTGAAACGAAACACCAAAGTGTAAAGAAACCCGTAACTCAAACTGGCAATCGATAATTTAAGGCAACGTTTTCCAATGTACATAAAAATAGCATAGCTAAGTATTCAGGGAATTATACCAGATTTAAAAGATACTTAAATGTACATGTACAAATTGTTGTTTTTTTTTGTTTTTTTTTTTATTTATAATTATGATGAACTGCATAAATGCTGCATCAGTCGAAACTTGCATTTATTTTGAAGGACAATATGTAACAAAAATATACTAGGCTCGGATATTCTAATGCCATTCAAAACAACAAATCACATTACTATCATTACGTTGATATTTAAGTACATTGTGAAGATCGTGGAATGTGTCCATCCTCAAATATAAAAGAAACATGCTGCCGATATCTAGAGTGATTACCATCAGAAGTCATGCTCTTTCTCCACATTGAGCCGATAGCTGATCGGAAGAATGATTGAGAAATGTTCTGCACCCATTTACCAGCTGTGTCCGACGCAAGTCATCTCTGTTTTAGAGGCCAACGTTGTTTTCTGCCAGTTCGTCTCTTAATGTAATCCTATATGTCCTCAACAGGTTTTCCTATATCGGGGACAAAGTTAACCCAGAGGCGAGACATGAATCTGGTGGCTCTGCAGGAAATCCGTACATACTCTGACAGTGCGTGTCCTAACATTGTCTTACTGCAACGTTACAACAAACAATTTGAGCTATAACTTCGCCACGATACGTTTCTGCCTTAACTGGTCCGTTAAAGGCGTGTTAGGTTGTTCTAGAATTGAAAATGATCCCTCCCAACACCCTGACATTACATGCATCCCCACCTGTTTGCTGGAGACAACATTGAGTAAAACGTTCTACATTTCTTCTCCCGACCGTCTGCTCTGCTTAGCTGAAATCTGGATTTTTTTCGATAGCAACCTATTTTCCATCTAGCATGAATCCACCAGGAATGAATGCACGACCACTGCAAAATATCTACGAGTAAGAATTTGCCAGACATAAGGTCGACCATCTCGTAGGCGACGTCGGACTGCGTGTGATGATACATGACTAGCTTGTGGTGTATGTAGACTAATACGTTAAAGTAATGAAAGGTTTGCGAGGGGTGGTTAATGAAATAAATGTTGCATTTGGGTGTTGACTTGATTGATAAAGCAGCTTTGCGCCATCGTTGTAATCCTCAGTGTTCCGGAATGTTTTCAATCCTTAACAATTATTGCTTGTTGGTGCACTAGAAAGAACCTAACAATTGTTGATTTCGCACCGTGTATGATGCATGTAACGTTTATTGTCGGCACACCAGCCGGCAACATGCAAAGTGAATTGTTCATGTCAGAGGTTTTCTAACACGGCATAACGATTTATGTTTTTTCTTTGCAGATTTGTGTCGTTACACATCAAAACAATTGTCAGTACATGTGAAACTGGGTCACCACGTGCAGTAAGAGTAAAATGCGGTCACACTTAATTGATTCCGTGTCCTAACCTGTCATTGATAGGAAGAGAAATAATACCTGTACTCATATATAAACTTCATAATGTCACAAACTTAATAAGCTAGGATTTATATCAAAATGTGATGCTTCATTTATGCTATTCAGTAAAAGTCTAGTCGTCGCAATATGAAATGTATAGCTAGCGAACAATATTGAATCAGTATCGAGAGTTGGTTAAATTAAAACAATTGGTAGTGACCTTGATTTCAAGTTCGGTAGGTTGCACATGATCGGTAAGGTCGATAAATTTCTTGATAGTTAAAGAAAGCCTAAGTCGATATATCTGAGAATTACAATTAGACAAGGCTTGCGTTTCCAGCTCTTTAAAAATCAAAATCAAACATACAAAGTATGCCAGACAGCGGACACAGTTTGTACCCTTATGAATGCCTTATATATGTAAGTCTTAGAAACACTTATAAATACCCTGCAACCAAATATCAACATAGCCGTTTGCCCTTTAAGTAGAGGAGAGCTCTCACAGGACAAGGACGTCGTTCCATAATTTTGGGAGGAGGTATGGTAGTGTAGAAAAAACAACGAATGCTCTAAAAACAACTAAGAATAATCAAACTGGGCGAACGATGAGCGATAACAACCTCGGTTGGTGTACATTTTGTAACAGCCTAAGAACATAATTGATTTATGTGTACGTGCAACTTAAGTGATTCTGAAAAGTTGCTATGCAATCTACTTTATTTTATTCGAGTCTTCCGTATTTTTTTCTTTCATTTGCGCAATATATGTATCCGCTATTTGTGGTTGTTGTGCGGTCACACAACTGTTGCAAGACCAAGTACGTTAACGCATAAAGCACGCATTAGCGTGCCTGTATTGTGCGTAAATCAGCATTTTGCAAACACCGTGTGATAACATCCGCACATGGTGCGCACTATAGTGCGATTCCATAATAATTTCACATGGTTTGTGCCTATCAGGGACAAATGTGCAATCAATATTCCGGAATGAAATGAAAAAAATATAGAAGACCCCTATACGAATCCATTTTAAACATTTGAATTCTAATCAGTATAACTTTCATTCCATCTAGTTTTATATGCAAAGCTAGTTACAAAGAAATATAGAGACTGCCGAACGTTTACGATAGGGCCTGACACCTCATCCAACCAATCACGCCCTTAAATCAGCCATTTTTCTATCGTCCGCACATTATTTTCCGATCCCCAATATCGAACCTGATATCTGACCCCGGATCATTTCGGTTTTCTTCATGACTGTATGGAGATAATACTGGTGAGGATGGTAGTCTGTATTTTAACGATTACTGATAACTGTCCGAGTTTTTTTGTTTTTTTTTACATTTCCATCGTTATAATATCCTTTTAATTTCTTTATAGTTTTTGTTATATGCAGAATCTTAGTATGCAACTATTGTTGCACTTTTTGGTAATGAAGTTTTCCGTTCTTCAAATATTGTAAAATATTATAAGTTTGCTTTTCCATAGAATCTCTTCTGTCTTACTGCGTTTTTTTACTTCTTATTTTTCAATGTTTGGGTTTTATATAAGGATCCTTTATGAGCTATCTAAACACAAAGTATCCACCTTTAATAGTTCTGCTTCCATTTTGAATCGACCGGTAAATTCTCTCTTTATAAATGGTGAAGGCTTAGTGCTGCTTTTCTTTCCGGACGGGGATAAACTACTACAGGTAATCCTGTCTTTATGTGTATTATAATAATTATTAGTACTGTAGCATACTACCTTTATATCTATAGCAGTGTGCTAAACTACAGAGACCCAGGTTCCTACCTTTTAACAATTCTTCTTAAAACTATCCATTGTAAACGAATAACACCAAAAGATATATATCACTGACTTCAAATTTCAAAATTGCAAATTTCATCGTTGCAACAGACATTATTTATGTGCTGGTATCACCACTCAGCTTGATTATAACAGGTGGTTGCATGTTTACCGCACTAAAATGGATATATGGTAGAATGCTGCCTATGGTCCTGATTCAGAAGATTCAAGTTCATCAACTAAACACATTCTGATAACTCTCCAACGTAGGAGATACTTAGACAGGTCTTTGACTTGAGAATTATCAATAAATATTCAATTGT